GACCATAAACAAATTCGTAGATAGAGAGAACATTTTGACATTTGCCAGGTGGGAGGGGATTTGGGGGGATGAGTGGAAAAGGTGAAGGAATTAAGAAGTATAAATTGGTAGTTACAGAATAGTCATGGGGATGTAAAGTACACCATAGGGAATATAATCACCAATATTGTAATAACTATGTATGGTGTCAAATAGGTACTAGATTTATTGGTGGTGATTACTTTGTTAGTTATATAAATGTCTAATCACTGGGTTGTATACCTTAAACTAGTCATATTGTATATCACCTGTAATTGAAATTTAAAAAATTTTTTTAAAAAACTTTCTCCTGTCAGTTTTTTTCCTGGTGTATCAAAAACTAGCATTTGCACATATAACTAGTTTTATGCAGCTCACTAAAGATGATTCTTGTCTAGAAAAGTGGTGGAGCTCCAGTTAAGTGAGGGAATAACTTCATATAATAAATTGGACCAATGGTGATTTAGAACTATTATTTAGTTTATTTTCTAGTTGCTTATATATTTTTTGTCTTTTTATATTCTTGATATTTTTGAAGTTACCTCCTCAAAACAGTCTGGGAGAGTGCTACATGTGCACAGCTTCATTCTTCTTTTCCCTTTTTAAACTTCCATGTTCTTGTCTGAGAAATAAATGAATAATTTGATGAGCAAATAGTGAAGGTCCATGCAGATGCTGAACATACTTGTTGCCATTTCACTTTTATGTGAAATCTGAGACCATGAACTGATTTGTTCATTATTAGGATGGATATTGGCTTTTATTTTTGCAACTGATGGCAGAAGTTTAAGAGTTGGGGAGGCATTTCACATTCTGAGATTGCAGTGAAATATCACTAAGAAGATTCTACTCAATGTTACCTTTTATATTTCATCTGTTATTTTCCTGAGTAAGATGAGAATCATGCATATTTTCCATTTGGTAATTGATGCTAACAGATTTTAAATGCCCATACAGTTTTTGTGCTGATGCACAAACTCCCTGCCCCCTGGAGACAATGATGAGAAAGCACCATAGACCACTTTAAAATTACATCTTTATAATTGTTGTTCAAAGAATATGTACTACACCTTACTAAGAAGAGATGCTGCTTCATTGTTTCATGTTTGTATTTTATTTGATTATTAATAAGATTGCTTGTTTATTTATCATGTTTCTTATTTTCAGAATTGTGCATAGGTCCTGTGTCCATATAATATGTTCAAATATATCCAGTTACCATTTTTATTAGTAAACATGATCAAATAATGGCAATTTTGTATGGTTCATCATAGTGTCTTTAGGATCTTAATGTGTTTGATGTTTTAATAACATTTTCCTGGTTATATTGTATTCTCATTGTTATAATAAGTTTTAAGAAATATAAAAATATATAAAATAGAAAAATATAAAATAGCACAAAGTTATCTTATACTATGTTGGTGTATTTTTCTTTTCCCTTTTAAAATATATTTTATTATTTATGCTATTACATTTGTTCAATTTCCCCTCTTTATTATCCTCTGTCTACATCACCCCTCCCACCCTCCTCCCTCCGACATTAGTTCATGTCCATAGGTTGTACTTATAAGTTCTTTGGCTTCTACATTTTCTCTACTGTTTTTAACTTCCCCCTGTCTATTTTCTACCAACCATTAATGCTACTTATTCCCTGTACCTTTTCCCCCATTCCACGCCCTCCCCAATGTTATTCCTCCATGTGATCTCCATTTCTTGATTCTGTCGTGTTCTAGTTGTTTGCTTAGTTCCTTTTTGTTTTTGTTTTCTTTTTAGGTTTGGTTGTTGATAGTTGTGAGTTTGTTGCCACTTTACTGTTTGTATTTTTTATTGTCTTTTTCTTCGATAAGTCCCTTTAACCTTTCATATATTAAGGGCTTGGTGATGATGAACTCCTTTAACTTAACCTTATCTGGGAAATCTGGGAAGCACTTTATCTGTCTTTCTACTATAAATGATAGAATGCTGGATAGAGTAATCTTGGATGTAGGTCCTTGCCTTTCATAACTTTGAATATTTCTTTCCTGCTCCTCTTGCCTGCAAGGTTTCTTTTGAAAAATCAGCTAATAATCTTATGAGAACTCCTTTGTATGTAACTGTCTCCTTTCTTCTTGCTGCTTTTAAGATTCTCTCCTTATCTTTGATCTTGGGTATTGTAAATATGATGTGCCTTAGTGTGTACTTCCTTGGGTCCAACTTCTTTGGTACTCTCTGACTTCCTGGAAGTCTATTCCCTTTGCCAGATTGGGGAAGTACTCCTTCATCATTTGTTCAAATAAGTTTTCCATTTCTTGCTCTTCCTCTTCTCCTTCTGGCACCCCTATCATTCAGATGTTGGAATGTTTAACATTGTCCCAGAGGTTCCTAAGCCTCTCCTAAATTTTTGGAATTCTTGTTTCTTCATTCTGTTCTGGTTGAATGTTTATTTCTTCCTTGTGCTCCAAACCATTGAATTGAGTCCTGGTTTCCTTCCCATCACTGTTGGTTCCCTGTATATTTTTCTTTATTTCACTTTTAATAGCTTTCACTTTTTCCTCAATTTTGTGCCCATACTCAACCATTTCTGTGAGCATCCTGATTAACAGTGTTTTGAACTCTGCATCTGATAGGTTAGCTATCTCTTTGTCACTTGGTTGTATTTTTTTCTGGAGTCTTGATCTGTTTTTTCATTTGGGCCATATTTGTTTAGTCTCAGTGCACCTGTTATGTAATAAAGGGCAGAGCCTTAGGTATTTGTGATATCAGGGAAACCCACACTGCTGTGTTGTAGCTCTGTATGTGGCAGAGGGGTCCAAGAGGGAACAATGCATCTTGCTTAGCTCTTGGTCAGCTTCCCGTCACTTCTCCACTACCCACAAGCAAATTGGGACTTTCTGGTGCTGTTTCCCAGGGCTGGGGACTTGTGTACATTCTAGGACCCTGATGGTCTCTCCAGTAAACTGTACTGTGAGGCTCGCTGTTTCTCTCACTGCCACAACCCCCACAAGTTTTTTTCAGTGAGAGGATTTAAGGCTTTATTTCCCCATCCTGGAACCCTGGGTTGTGCTGTCTGGCTCCCCAATTGTTCCTTCTGGTTTATCTGTATGTGAATGTGGGATCTCCTGCTCCACCAGCTGCCACCTTGCCTGGCCCGGCCTTCTAGCAACCGCCTTGCTGAGGGTCCTCTCCACCCAACTGCTCATCGATGCCTCTTCTACTGGTCTGGATGAAATTTTCTTCAACTCCTTGGTTTTCAGACTTTCATGCAGTTTGATTTTCTGTCCTATCTGGTAGTTTTTTGTTTTTAAGTTTGTTGTTTTCCTTTTTCTGGTTGTGCAAGGAGGCACAATGTAACCATCTATCCCTTCATCCTGACTGGAAGTCCTCTTTTCTCTTTTTGAATTGTGTATTATTCTCAGAAAGTTGCAGAGGTGTTTTTTTTTTTTTGGTAGAACTGTTAAATAATTATATGTATAGTGACAGCTAAGTATATTAGCTATTATTATAGACAGAAGTTATCCTGCCTGATATTTTATGAACTATACTTCCTATGCTATTAAATATTCTTTAGGAATATTATTTTTAAGGCTACTTCTTATTCTGCTGTATGAATACAGTATAATTTAGCAAACTTCTTGTAGGTATTATGAAATCCTTTTATGTGAAATAACTAGGTCAGATAATTAAAATATTTTTTAAATTTCTTGATATGTAGAAGAATGCCATCCCTAACTATTTATTAATTGCCTTGGCTGGTGTTGCTCAGTGGACTGAGTGCAGGGTGTGAACCAAAGTGTTGCCGGTTCAATTCCCAGGGAAGGCACATGCCTGGGTTGTGGACCTGGTCCCTAGTCGGGGACATGTGAATGGCAGCCACACATTGATATTTCTCTCCCTCTCTTTCTACTTCCCTCCCTCTCTCTCTAAAAATAAGTAAATAAAATCTTTAAAAAATTTATTAATTGTGGCCTGGCTGGTGTAGCTCAGTGGATTGAGTGCGGGCCTGTGAACTACACGATGAAGGTTCAATTCCCAGTCAGGGCACACGCCTGGGTTGCAGGTCAGTTCCCAGCAGGGGACTCACGAGAGGCAACCATACATTGATATTTCTCTCCTTCCCTTCCTCTCTAAAGATAAATAAATAAAATCTTTAAAAAAACATTTATTAAAAACACTATTAATTGTCACTTTTTCCAGGAATTTGTGAGATTACAGCAGTGAAAGTTTTTATTCTTGATTTTGATAGATACAAATAGTGTCTCTGTTTCATTTTGAATATTTTAGATGGTTATTAACCATGTCTTTCTTCTGTTATGATTTATTTATTAAAATTCTGTATTTTATTGGATTTTCCATTTGTCTTATATTTGTAAGAAAAAAACCATACTTGTATATGTATGAAAAAATTAGAATGCATATTTGCCAAAATATGAGTAATTTTATAAACATTTTATTTACTTATTCAAGAGAAAGGGGAAGGGAGGGAGAAAAAGAAGAAGAGACATGATATGTGGCTGTGTCTCACACACCCCCAACTGGGAACCCGGCTCACAACCCATGCATGTGCCCTGACTGGGAATTGAACTGGTGACCCTTTGGCTCTCAAGCCAGCACTCAATCCTCTGAGCCACACCAGCCAGGGCTCATTGATGATTTTCTAGGTTATGAAATTTTGGATGATTTTAATTCTCTGCATATTTGTCTTTTTTTCCTAATTATCCAGTTTTATTTGTTATTGTTTAGTTTTTTGCAAAACAAAAATTCCTGGTTGTTGTGAAGGTGGGCTGGCTATTAGTAATAAGATGTTTTGGGCCTGTTCTACAAAGATGGAGCAGATTCCTCCCAGGCCCACTTAAACCCAAGAGGGTTTTCAGTGTCCTTTGCTTATACACTCAGCTTCTATCTGGTCCCTAGGCCACACTATCTGGTATCTTAACAATGGGAGAATGTGTGAGGTATGATAATAATAGTGTACCATTGTTTTTGGTTTTCCCTGGCATGTTCAGCCTGCTAAGGGATGGATGAAGAAGAGAATCACTATGTTTCACAACTCAGGGAAGTCTTCAGAAGCTGTGACACCACAGGAACAGGCTTTCTGGACCAGGAGGAGCTGACCCAACTCTGTCTTAAGCTGCATCTAGAACAGCACCTTCCTATTCTTCTGCAAACACTTCTCGGAAATGACTGCTATGCCAGGGTGGGTATTTTACTTCATTCTGTTAAGAAAGAGCACAGAGAACTTTATTGGTTATTATGGGCATTTGATAAGTATCAGTTGGATACTCATCAAAGAAAAGTTATTAGGAAATGAAATGGTATTTTTTTCTCTATGGAACTCCTACATTGTAGAAAAATTTTCTTAAGATGACTTTTTAAATGTAGTAACCTCCAGAGGTTTTTTTGTTGTTGTTGTTGTTTTTGCAGAAAGTTGCTTGAGTGATTTGTCAGCAGGTATCAGGAGTTGTGGTATGGGTGGGTAGCATATGATTCACAAAACACGGGGCTGGCTCTGTGGGTTTACACACTAGTAAATCAATCAGAGACCGACAGCTTTGAAGTACCTCAAGGGTAGATTGTATTGTATTACAGTTACATAGCTTGAAATTTTTCTTGCAGCTGAACAAAATTTCAAACTATGTTCAGAGGTGATCTGTGATTTCATATAGGCGAGATGGGAAATGAACTCAGTTCTTTTCTCTAGGAAGTTCAAGGTCATTTAAATGGTGATCTAGAACGTAGATTAAAAACTTTCCTGAGGGAAACACTAATAACCATGTCCCTCCTTCTTCCTACTTCTTGAATTTTTCCACATATTAAACTGTTAGTGTTAGAAACAGTTATCTTATCATCTCGACTTTGAAGGAAGAGCTGTCTTTTTCACAGTATTCAGTAAAACTGTTGTCATTTTGAATAAGAAAAAAAATCTAGCTTGTAAATTTTCCTGAATTGGCTCTTGGGCAAAAACAAAAGTCCTCACTGCTGGCATAGGGAGAGAATCAGGCAAATCTAACCTCTTGTTTCTTCCCCAAAGAACCAACTGCCCTGTGTCACTAATGCTTGTCAATAGGGTATTTTTACTCCTTAGGGCAGAGAATGCTGACTCAATTAAATTGACCTCACCCTTTCTCTCTTTATTCTCTTCCTGATTTGGTGGTTTTTTCCTTTTGGACTTAGGAAGCAAATATTTTTTTTATAGATAATGTTCCAGCCTCTTTTGATATCACCTGGAATTGTATTTGGACCCAAGATCAGAAAAAGGCACATTTGTGGAAAATCAGTACTCTAGTTATTTAAGCAGTATAAACAGATGATCTGGTTTTCCTGGTTATTTTTGAAAGTGGAAAATTCAAACCAGAAAGGATAACTTTTAGGCCCAGATTCAGATTGTAGGTTCTGCTTATCGAACAAACCATAATATTTTCAAGCCTTTCTCCACTTTATGCTTTGTATGTGCAGAAGTGGTATAAGATTCAGAAACATCAAATGTGACAGAAAAAAAAGATCAGTATTGGAACATCAAAGAGAAAAATTAACTTGGATTCTTTGAGATTTCTCACTTCCCCCATGTCACATGCATCCTGAAAGGCATTTGCTCTGAGTTGTAATTCCTTCCAGGAAGCTGGTAGTTTCTCCAGACACATTAATGGGGAGTTAGGTTAGAAGAAGAGACAGATACTCACAAGCAGTGACAGGAGCCTGATCTTTTCTGATTACCATTCACTTGGCAAAGCTCTGTTCATGTTTATCCATCTGTCCTTCTGTCTGTTCCAACTTCATTTTGTCTTTTATCCATGAAATTGTGTTCCCAAAAAGACAGGGGCTAGATGAATTAAGAAATCACTCTATTTCCTTTAGTGCTCTTGAGTGTGATCTGAAGTTATCCATAACTTCATAAAGAATAAATAAACAAGTCAGCAAGAAATTACCAGTCTAAAAATCTATAAGTCATATATTCTGAAAGGTTAAGCTTAGTACAGAAAATCCAATTTGCTCTAAAAGTATTTTCAGTTATTAAGTAAGCACCTGTTAAATTGATATGTGTTTTGGGGGGCCTCCAATTACCAGAGAAATATGTCAAAACCCATACTCGCCCAAGGTAGAGAATCTGATAAAGGAGCCCCAAATTTAAGGGAAGCTTTTAAAGGGTAACACATAGCGTAAAGATGAACTGTAAGTAAATAAGCCATTGTGCTTTTTTTGCTACCTGGGCTTGCATCCCCTCAGTGGTCTAGTTTAACTCAGTTCTTGTACTTAGATTAAGGTTGCCTGTATGGGTGGTCCCCTCAGGCATCTGGCAAAAGCAAAGCAAAGTCCTCTCTTGAGACAGTACCATCATCAAAGTTTTCTAATTACTTTTAAGTAATAGTCAAATATAATAACCAGCATACAGTCAAGAATAATTAGGTACACAAATAAGATAGGATGAGTAAGAACCAATAGAAACAGCAGGCAAACACAAAGCTTTGATGGATTGGAATTATTGGGCACAAAATATAAAACAACTATATTTAATTACTGTTAGAAGAGATTGAAAAACAAAAGCTTGAAAGAGAGAATTCTTTTTTTAAAAAAAATATTTATTTATTTATTTATCTTTAGAGGGGAAGGAGAGAGGGAGAGAAACATCAATGTATGGTTGTCTCTAGTGCATCCCCTGCTGGGAACTGGCCTGCAGGGAACTGGCTTGCAACCCAGGCATGTGCCCTGACTGGGAATTGAACTGCAATCCTCTGGTTCGCAGACCTGCGCTCAATCCACTGAGCTATACCAGCCAGGGCTGAAAGAGAGAATTCTAAAAAGTGATTTAAAAGATCTGAACAAAGAACTGCAAATAAAACTTTTAGAACTGAAAAGTGTGATAACCAAAATTAAAAACTAAATGTAAGAGTTTAACAGCAAATTAGGCACAACTTAAGAAAGACAAGGAAAAGATAGTGTGAGAAGGTCTAACATTCCTTTAGTTGGAACTCCAGGAGGAAAAGAGTGAATGTCTAGGGCATTATGTGATTAGATAATAGCTTTAAAATTTCCAGAACAGATTTAGGATTTCAAAACCCCATGAATTCCAAGTAGCATAAATAAAAAGAAATCCACACCTTACTATAGTATTGTGATACTGAAGGAAAACAAAGCCAAAGAGAGTATGTTAAAAGCAGCCAGACATTGGTACACAGGATCTCTTTGTATTTTTCTACAACCACATGTAAATCTAAAATTATCTCAAAATGAAAAGATTATTAATTTTTAAAAGCAAAGAAAAACATCATTCTAAAAATGTGCAGTAGTTAGATTGACAGCTGCCTTCTCAAATATGATAGTAGAAGCCAGAGCAGTTGAAAGGTCTTTCCAATATGCTGGGGGGAAAATCAACCACCAACCTGAATTCTATATGCAGCAAAAAATGTTTTTAAAAAATAAAGGTGTCATCAAAGGCAGTTCTGGCCAAGATAGAGACGTAGGTAGACACCCTTCAAGTACTTGCAGAACCAAAAGGAGGATAACAGCCAATAAAATCAATAAACAACCAGGAGTGCCAGAAAATCAAACTGCATGGAACATTGACAACCAAGGAATTAAAGAAACAGTCAACCAGACTGGTAATGCGGGTGGATGGAGAGAACCTGAGGTGAGGCCGTAGAACATGTGGGTGGGGCTGGCTGATTGAGAAACTGAGACTCAGAGCTCACTGTGGACTATGGTGAGGGTTGCTGTGATGGGAGAAACTCCCAATCTCACATGAGGGTTTGTTGAAAAGTGGGGCTAGAGCCAAGCAGGGTAGCTGCATTATTTCCTTGCTAGCCCCTCCGCCACAGACAGCATTGCAGTGCAGCAATGAAGGTTTTCCTGCCCTGGTGAATACCTAAGGCCCCGCCCCCCTACAACTTAACAAATGTGCCAAGACAAAGAAACAGGGCCCAAATGTAACAACAGAGGAAAACTCCAGAAGGAGAGCTAAGCGATAAGGAGATAACCAACCTATCTGGTGGAGAATTTAAAGTTCTGCTTATCAAAGTGATGATAGAACTGATTGAGTTCTATCACAAAATGAAAGAACAAATGAAGGATACCCAAAGTAAAATAAATCAAGATATTTGGGAACCAACAGTGACAGGAAGGAAACCAGGACTCAAATCAACGGTATAGAACAAAAGGAAGAAATAAACAACCAACCAGACAGAATGAAGAAACAAGAATTCAAAAAAAATGAAGCAAAGCTTAGGAACCCCTGGGACAACTTTAAACATTCCAATATTTGAATAATAGGGGTGCCAGAAGGAGAAGAATGAGAGCAATAAATTGAAAACGTGTTTTAACAAATAATAAAGGAAAACTTCCCCAATCTAGCAAAGAAAATAGGCTTCCAGGAAGTCCAGGAAGCTCAGACAGTCCCAAAGAAGTTGGACCCAAGGAGGAACACACCAAGGCACATCATCATTAAGTTACCCAAGATTAAAGATAGAGAATCTTAAAAGCAGCAAGAAGAAAGGAGAGAGTTACCTACAAAGGAGTTCCCATAAGACAATCTGCTGATTTCTCAATAGAAACCTTACAGGCAATAAGGGGCTGGGAAGAAGTATTCCAAATCGTGAAAGGCAAGGACCTACATCCAAGATTATTCTACCCAGCAAAGCCTTCACTTAGAATGAATGGAGAGATGAAGTGCTTCCCAGATAAGGTCAAGTTAAAGGAGTTCATCATCACCCAGCCCATATTATATGAAAGGTTAAAGGGACTTATCTATGAAATTGAAGAAGATCAAAAGTATGAACGGTAAAATGACAACAAACTTGCAACTATCAACAATTGACCCTTAAAAAAAAGAAAGACAACAAAAACGAAAGGAAACAACTAGAACGGGAATAGAATCAGAGAAAAGGACATCACATGGAGGGTTTTCAGTGGAGAAGGGGAGGGGAGGAACAGGAGGAAAAAGGTACAGGGAATAAGAAGCATAATTGGTAGGCATGAAATAGAGAGGTAAAAAATGGTGTTGGAGACAGAATTCAAAGAACTTATATGTACAACCCATGTACATGATCTAAGAGGGGAAATGCTGGAGAGTTGGGGGTGCAGGGCAGAGGACAGATAAAGGGAAAAAATTGGGAAGTTTTTAATATAATAATCAATAAAATATACTTTAAAATGAAGGTGAAAGAATGCAGTCATGAGAAGGTGAATTTGCTCAGTTATGGAGGA